TTTATACCGGTCAATTGGGGTGACATTGCCTAATTTTAAAGTTGATAATTTTCACATAACCCATTTTTTGATATCCTAGATAAAATTTGTACCTTTGAAAGGTGTAGATGTGATTTATGTAGTTATTTTATTTTTATATCATTCCCCTCAAAATAAAGAAAACAATGAAAATCTTGGACTAATAATGTTTAAAAGTTCTGCAAAATGGGAACAAAAAGGATGAATTATGAAAATAAAGAACAGTTCATTAAGAATAAGTGCCAAAAAGAAGTCTATCGAGAACTATGTGCAAAAATATTTCTCCAAGTCGTCCTTAAAGAAAAAACTTGTCTCTTTCCGGTAGACGGAGTAGGCTTGAGAACAATGTCGTCTCGTGAAATGATGGCTTCGTCTGCCACCTGAGGAAAAGTGAACGATTTTCCCTTTTCCTTGGTTCTCATGAATGAGACTTCCGAATCTCCATCACTACATTCACTAATCATTTTTGCCATAAAATGCTTTACAGTATTTTCACCAAAACGAATTCACCTTTTCTGAAAGTAATCGGTTCCTGGTGATTGGTAGAATCAATCTCTTCTTCCACCTCCTCCATTTCAGAAGAGTTCTCAGTAGCATATGTGCTGAGGAAGTCGTGCAATGATATGTCATCTTCACTTGACTCTTCATGCGGTTTTTTTGTCTTTGAAATGCGTGCTGCTGCCTATTTTGCAGAGGTGGTTGATCCTGAAGTAGACGTGGTTGCTGGTAAATCAAAACTTTCAGGATCTACTGCTTCCCGAAGATCAGCTAGACAAACAGACAAAATGAGTCGTATTTTTTTGGGATTTCAGTGCTTTCTCTATCTGAAGGATGAGAAAGTAAAAAAACTAAAATCAATGTAACACTTCAAATGAAAGGTGGGCAAAGTGACTCCAATTTTCGTGTAAAACGTGGGGTGACATTGCCCACTCGAATAACAATCAACAGGTTGGGTGCAGGAACAAAATTGCAAGTGGATTAAATTCTTCATCACATTTACTAATAATAATAATAATAAGTGATGAAACTCGCCTTGTTTTCGTAGAAGCTGTGTACATGTAATTTTGAAGATCTCAAATTTTCATGGATAACCCACGTTACAAATAAAACAGTTAATTGGTAATAACACTTATCTGGAACGGCCTACAAACTATAGAATATCTCATTGTCATTGAGGAGGTATGTTTCATTGACTGCAGCGCCTCAAACGACCTTTCAGCTATTTACTATGGAGGCGCGAAACTGTTTTTTCAAAACTGAGCAAAGCTACCCCAGAGGACAAAGTCACCCCAATTGACGGTACATATGCGCTTGCCCATTGCAAGTCTTCCAGAGTGAATAAAATTAAAATGTTAGGTGTGCAGAGTCGATAAATGAAAAAATAATAATGTGTTATTTTTTCTCAGTGTACTTTGTGGATGTGGATAACTTCACACCCGTCAAAAAGAATGAATTATGAAAATAAAGAACAGTTCATTAAGAATAAGTGCTAAAAAGAAGTCTATCGAGAACTATGTGCAAAAATATTTCTCCAAGTCGTCCTTAAAGAAAAAAACTTGTCTCTTTCCGGTGGACGGAGTAGGCTTGAGAACAATGTCGTCTCGTGAAATGATGGCTTCGTCTGCCACTTGAGGAAAAGTGAACGATTTTCCCTTTTCCTTGGTTCTCATGAATGAGACTTCCAAATCTCTATCACTACATTCACCAATCATTTTTGCCATAAAATGCTTTACAGTTTTTTCCCCAACATTTTCACCAAAACGAATTCACCTTTTCTGAAAGTAATCGCTTCTTGGTGATTGGTAGAATCAATCTCTTCTCCCACCTTCTCCATTTCAGAAAAGTTCTCAGTAGCATATGTGAAGAGTCACTTGACTCTTCATGCCGTTTTTTTGTCTTTGAAATGCATGCTGCTGCCGATTTTGCAGAGGTGGTTAACCCTAAAGTAGACGTGGTTGCTGGTAAATTATAACTTTGAGGATCTACTGCTTCCCGAAGATCAGCTAGACAAACAAACAAAATAAGTCGTATTTTTTTGGGATTTCAATGCTTTCTCTATCTGAAGGATGAGATAGTAAAAAAACTATAATTACAATGCAACACTTCAAATAAAAGGTGGGCAAAGTGACTCCAATTTTCGTGTAAACAGGTTGGGTGCAGGAACGAAATTGCAAGTGAATTAAACTCTTCATCACATTTACTAATAATAAGTGATGAAACTCGCCTTGTTTTCGTAGAAGCTGTGTATATGTAATTTTGAAGATCTCAAATTTTCATGGATAACCCACGTTACAAATAAAACAGTTAATTGGTAATAACACTTATCTGGAACGACCTACAAACTATAGAATATCTCATTATCATTGAGGAGGTATGTTTCATTGACTGCAGCGCCTCAAACGACCTTTCAGCTATTTACTATGGAGGCGCGAAACTGTTTTTTCAAAACTGGGCAAAGCTACCCCAGAGGACAAAGTCACCCCAATTGACGGTACATATGCGCTTGCCCATTGCAAGTCTTCCAGAGTGAATAAAATAACGGCTTTCTATCGACTTTTTCCTAGAATGGCCGGACGGTAGTCAGTGAGTTAGTGTAGGTGTGGAGTCAATCACAACTTTGGGGTTATGGGTGGTTTTTTTATGGCATAACTGTATTGCATTTATCAACATTTCAATAACTAATAATAGATACAGATTCTGACTGATTATTTATTATCTTTTAGCCATGTCGTCATCATACCAATGCAATTTCACTGGAATACAATGTTTTCAATAGGTCTACCTTACATTCATGAATGACACGTAGTGTCAGTTTCAAAAAGATAATGTGCACATTTCTATCTATTATTCATCATCAGTAACTCCTTTTATATTGAAGTTTTGGTATAACATTTCTTCTAACAAATTTTGTTTTCAGGATACTTTTGGACGAAGAATTTTTGGAAGAAAAGGCCAACAGAAACGATGATAGTTCTAATCCTGATAGTTGTACTCGTAACCCTCATATTAGCATTAACATTGTGGAAACACTCTGTAACAAATCCACTTAATGGTAAGCCTCATAATCCTTACGACGAAGAAGATAGTGATAAGCCGATTTACTATCCTACCGGTAAGAAATCAATAATAATAATTGACATTACTTTCTTAGGTATTTTGATACACTGACCCGTTATTTGGTGAAAATCAATAACAATATAGTCCGTTCATAATTTGT